ACAGTTAGCCGGTACGGGGTGGGGGGCTGGGGGGTGGGGGTGGGAATGGGAGAGTGAAGGAAGATGTACACAAAGGTCTGGTCCTCAACCTGGCACCCTTCACAGAAGGCACGGCTGCTGGGAGGGCTGACAGTAAAGGAGGTCAGCACTGTGACCCTGGCTGGAGCCCGGATGCTGCACATTTCACCCTGTAGGGTAGCAGCCATGGCCAAGGCTCGGGCTTGCTTTTTTTTTTTTTTTACAAGTTTAATATTTATTTTTTATGTCAGATTAATATGAGGGCACACATGATTAGGCTGCATTGTTTGGTAAGGTCCCTGTTGGAACTGAGCTCCTCACCCAGGAGGCGTGCCCTGTACCCTTAGGTGGGAGCTCACCAACTCCCCTCTCTCCTTTCTCCCTCTTCCTTCCCCTAGCTTGAATTGGACCGAGTTTTTCTCTTGTGTGGGCCTGTATTAGTTCTTCTGCTGGCTTCATATTAGTATGGACTACATTGGATATATGCTTTTCCATTCTTGCGATACTTTATGAGAGAGAATGCTCTCCAACTCTATCCAGGTTAATACAACAGGGCTGAGGCTTTCGTAAGGCAGAATGCCTCTGTGATCAAACTGGCCATTTGTCTCACTGCCATCACTTACTCCGTGGAGGGACAGGCTTACGTTAGCAGTATTGTATTGTCCACTGAGAGGCCTGGAGGCCCATGTCTGGAGATGACCTAGGAGTACTGTGATGGGGCGCTAAGGGCATTTTCAGGACAATGTCCAGATGCAGAGGATAGAGGAGCATGTGCGATTTCTGTGTCTTCTGGCTCGTGCAGGGTCTGTGCATTTTCTCACTGTCCTCCTCTCCGCCCCTGTCACCAGGAGACCCTGACAGACAGCTTCATGCTGCAGTTCCCCTTGGGGAGTGCAGGCTGGGTTCCTGAAGTTTCCCCTGGAGGGTGCAGCCTGGGTTGCTGCAGTTCCCCATGGCGGGTGCAGGCAGGGCCCTGCTGGCGGCAAGCACACCTGCAGATGCCCAGGCATTCACCGGTGCTGTGCGTGCACCCCTTTAGCTGAAGCAGTGTAAAATGCTTGTTGAATGCACTTTCCTTATGATAGAAAAAGTAACAGCATCCTCTTTAATGGGATGTAAATGTCCTTTCAGACATCACTTCTTCTGTTTCAAGATGGAAGAAATCTGCCTTGGCTTTTATTTTGAACGCTTAGCAGTAATCCATGTAATGCAAGTGTGAAAAGGAAGGTTGGTGACAGAGGCTTCCCTGTGAATCAAGTGTCCTCCAGCTAAGTCTGGGCTCTGCTGCGTTAGACACGTGCCTCCCCCGTGTGGCTACAGAGAGGGGCACGCACCTGTACAGACACCTGCTGTTGGGGGGCGTGGCTGGCATCCCTGAAGCAGAGGAGGGAATGCTCTGAGGCTGCAGTTTCTAGCAGGCATGCAAGTTCCAGGGCAGTACTGGAGGGCTGTCTGCTGCCATCTCTGACTGCCTCTTTGTTTCTACCTGGTAAGTCAAAGAAACTGCAGAAATATTTGGAGGTAACAACAGAAGCTACTGGCCTTCTGTTACCAGTAAGGCCATTACTGGGATGCTCATGCTCTGCCGTGGCTGAGCCATACTTGGTGCCGAGATAATGGGACCAGGCCTCAGGACGGCAGCCTCAGCTTGAGGCCTACGTGTGAGCAGCACCAATAGTCACGCTCTTTCTGCAGCAGTGAGCTGTCACCACAAGTGGAGGTGCGAATTGGAACCACCTCCGCGTCCTACAAAACTGCACTTGGAGGGCTTTAGAGACCTTGGAGATCCAAGCCCTGATGCCCTCTTTTCATTTGCCAAAATCTCATGTTCTTTATTTTATTATTTTTTTTGCGACAGTATCTCACTTTGTCGCCCTGGGTAGAGTACCGTGGCATCATAGTTCACAGCAATGTTGGGCTTAAGTGATTCTCTTGCCTTAGCCTCCCGAGTACCTTGGGACTACAGGCACCTGCCACAATATTTGGCTATTTTTTAGAGACGAGGTCTTGCTCTGGCTCAGGCTGTTCTCAAACCTGTGAGCTAAGGCAATCCACCCGCCTTGGCCTCCCAGAGTGCTAGGATTATAGGCTTGAACCACTGCACCCAGCTAAAATCTGATGTTCTTTAATCATGAGAACTAGACTAAGCCTCTGGACTCCTGATGTGTGACTCCATTTGTGATTAAGTCTGCTGACCTTGGGGGGGAGGGTATTGACAACCAGATAAGGGTGTGTTTGAGACGCATGGCTTTGAAAACTCTGTAGAATTTCTTATGCACATTCTGGCTTCTTGAACAGGACATTGTCTTTTCCTGTCAACATAAGCCTGTCTCAGTAAGTGTCAGTGGCTGAGCTGGTCTCAGAGGTCATGGAGGCTTTGGGCAGTCACTTCAACACCACTGAGACCTTGGGCATGGTCCTCAGAGTTCCTAAACAGGAGATAGTGCAAAGACCAACCTCATGACAGTGCTTTAAGAAAGTACAGCCCTCAGCACAATGCCTGGCATTTAACAAGCTATCAAAGCACGTCTTTATGTTGGCGACCAGCACCATGTGCCCTCAGGAATTACACAGGAGATGATTTGTACTTGTACAAAAGGTACCACATTTCTGGGTTATGTTCTTCTTGATGATTAATTTCTTTTTTCTCAGTTAATTCTCAGTGTTTGTTCATATCTCCATTAATTTTTTTTTTATTGTGGTAAAATATGCACAATAGATTTACCATTGTAATCATTTTTAAGTGTATAGTACCATGGCATTAAGTTCATTCATGCTGTTGTACAATCTTCACCACCATCTGTCTCCAGAACTTTTTCCTGTTCCCTAACTATATATGCAATTTTTGTTTTTTAAAATGAAGTTAGTTTATCTGAGAACAGAAAAGTGAATGGGGCATCATCTGCCTCTCTCTGTGCTCCAGGGGCCAGCCTGACAAAAGTATGGCTGACCAATACCTGGGGCATGGCCTTGACCTTGAAGCTGGCTTGGGGGTTGATGAGTTGATAGAGGGATAAATAAATACATTTCTTCAATGAGGAATGTTACTGCATTGCCTGTTCTTAGAAACTATTGTTGTAAACAGAATTTGCTTCATCCCAAAGGTAGGCTGTGCTTGTGAACAGCTATGTAACTGAGGCACTCAGAGATGGACTCTGGATTAGTCTTCTGGGTCCACCATGACAAAGTACCACTGCCTGGGTGGCTTAAACAAAAGTCTATTTTCTCACAGTTGTGGAATCTGAAAGTTCAAGATTAAGGGGGTGGCAGGTTTGGTTTCTTCCAAGGCCTCCCCTTAGCTTGTAGACAGCTGTTCTCCTGGAGTCTTCATGTGGCCCCTCCCTCTGTGTGTCGTGGGTCCTCATCTCCTCCTCTCTGAGGACACCAATTGTGGTGGATCATTTTAACTTAATCATCTCTTTAAAGACCCCCATCTCCAAATAAGGGCAAATTCTGTGTTCCTGGAGATCAGAGTTTCTGCATATGAACTTTGGGGCTGGGGTGGTTATAATTTAGCTCTTAACAGTCTCTAAAGATCCCTCCAATTCCAAAAAATACTCCAAATCCTCCCCAGTTCCAGAGGAAGCTGTTGAAGCCAGGCCCCCCCATGCCCTGGGACACACCCTGTGCTCATCCCCAGGGCTTATGATTGTTGGTGGAAAATCACAGATGTAGCTCTGAAGTCCCAGAGACAGAATGTCCTACTGTTTCTGAGCTACACACATTACATTTTTCTTAGAGAGAAAGAATAATAAACAGAGATAGAATATTTTAAGTTCTACCCTCCTCATCTGCCAAGATTATCCACAAGGCTTTAAATAAACACAAGACTCCTTGAAATATTATAGCCTCGCTCTGGAAATCGTGAGAGAGGCCATTTCTGTACAAGGAGAAGAGGGACTGAGGGCTAATTAGACTTCAAGAAGAACCTTTTAAAATAGCATTTCAATTTCAGTTATTGAATTGAGCTACTATTATCTAGTAGTATCTTTTAATAGACAAGATACTTTGGGAAATAGTAGGAACTAAATTTTGAGTAATTACCTTGGTGGCTGTATTCAGTGCAGGATGATGTGTTGTAAAGTTGTGATTACCTGGGGTGGTGGTAACAGTGCTGATGCCATTTCTGTGAGTTTTTGTGATGATATGATTGTGTGTTGTGACCCTTGGTGGAGAAAATAGTATGACAGATGTGACCAGAAAGCTGGTAAAAAGAAATACGCTCACTGACTCTGTCACTTACACGACAGCCCCACTCATCCCTTCTCTTCTTTCTCCTTCCCTCCACTCCTGAGCTCTGCGTGTGAGCACTTACGTAGTGATCAATGGCAATATTCTAAATCAAAGCCCTTTTTTTGTGTGCGCTGAGCTGTCTTTTTTTTTTGCAGGTTTTTGGCGGGGGCTGGGTTTGAACTCACCACCTCTGGCATATGGGGCCGGCGCCCTACTCCTTTGAGCCACAGGTGCTGCCCTGAGCTGTCATTTTTTAAAATTGAGCAGAATAATAAGCTGTTGGCTCATGCATTGGCTATTTAAATTTTTTTCATCAAAGATTTGTGAAGAATTTGTAATGTACACTGAGGAACATATTTTGGTAGAAGTTTCTGTTTTCTGGGTGGAATTTGCTTCTCTAAATCTGTGTAGAAAATCGGAAGGTGCAGGTCTGTCTCAGAAATCAGAGCCTGGCTTTGTTAGTGGCTCCTTTGCCTCTGTCTGGGGGTCCCTTTTGGCGTTAGCTACGCTCATTTCCTCTCTCTTACTGACCACTCCTGGTCCACTAACTGTTCTTTATTATCAATGATTAGTCGTTATTTATCATAATGAGAAAGCGGGCGTGCCTTGGCTTTCTGCGGATTCTCAGGCAGAGTTCTCCTCTCACTAAGGTCCCTGCCATGGGTGTAGAGACAGAAGAAAGAGTGAGCACCCTGTAGGGTCGCTGGCCCAGCCCAGATCCCTCTGATGTGCACGTGCTGTCATTGTAGGTCTCCGAGTTCAACCCCTTGACGTTCACCAGCGTGATTGAGTGTGAGAAGCCAAACAACGAACTGACCAGGTTTCGTGGTTGCATGTGAGTATCGTGCCTCTCCCTCCGTCCCTCCTTCTGTTTGAGAAGCCGTGTCTGCCTGTACCCGGCATGCACACTTATAAAATGCATATTCGTTACCTTCACCACGTGCTGTAGGCTTTGGGAAGGTTGCCTGGCACCTGAGCCTTCTCGGCTGTTCAGGGGACTGGCCTGGACGATCCTGTGAGTGGCAGGGAACCCCCAGTGCCGTCTGTAAGGAGGCGGCACTGCTCTGCCCTCCTGTCTTGGGCCCTGGGGAGGTGAAGGGGTGACCCGAGAAGTGTGGCTGACCACACAGGGCCCTGTTAATGGAAGCAGCAGCTGGCGGGAGGAGCCTGGGCAGGTCTCCCTGGCTTGTCCGTCCACTTGTCCTTGGACAGGCTTGTTCTCCAAAAGGCCATCCCCGATGGCTCAAGACTCTGGCTGAACACGCAAAAATTCCTGTGTTCATGTTTATTTCATTCTAGGTAGAAAAGGGAGACATTACAGAAACTAAGTATAATGTATTTCCCGTCGAATGGTTTAGCCTCTTCCTTGCTTCACGCAGAAAGGGAAGCAAGAGGGTCGGTGGCAGAGGACCTGCCCCCTGTCTGTGCCTGGAGAAGCCAAGCTATCTGTGCATGGGCAATAATTGTCCTTTTCTCTCTACAGTCATGTCTGTTTGGGAATTCCCATAGTCTTCGTGTATGTGTGTTTGTGTGTGTGTTCCCAAGTGCACACACACCTGGTCAGTGATGTGGGGAAAATACAGACAAATAGAGGCAGTGTCAGGACACAGCTGCCAAGTGGCTCTCTGGGGCCCTCTGTGACGGCCTTCTGGAGAATGACCAGGGCCTAAGGAGCGTTGGGCTGGACTTGTCTTTTGGGCATCAGCAGACGCCCACAGGCTCAGCTCTCCTGTTTGGAGGATGTGGGGCCGTGTCCCTGGGCCGTCCCACTCTGAGGAGTGAGTGGATGTTGGAGCCTGGCCCCTGTTTAGTGGCACAGGCCCAGACTGGGCTCCCCACAGATACTCAGTTTGTGTAAGGCTGGATCTCCTGATGTACCGACACATCTAGTGTGACTGTGTATGTCCAGCACGCAGCTGGCAGGCGGCAATGCTGGAGGCAAACCCACAAACAGAAGCTGTCCACAGCTGTGACAGCTCCATCACCCATTGAAATCGCCCAAGAACCAGAATGTGGGTGTTGTTAGATTATTCCTTTAAACAGTGTTTTTCAGGCTTATTTATCTCACGGCACACTTGAACCTAAACTTCCATGACACACTTGAATTATGTTAATCAAAAAAAAGAATATACATAGTATGTTCTGAACATCTTTCTAAAATTATTTAATTAATGATCTTTAACAATTTTCACTACACACCTAATATACTCTCGTGGTACACCAGTGGGCCAAATACCAGTTGAAAATCACTCCCTAAAGGAACCAGTTCATTCTTTTCTCCTAACTAGAATGAAATAAACAAACAGGTATTTTTGCCTATTGAGTTCACTGAGGGTTCATAAGAAAAAGTACTGATATGTGGTGTATAAGATTTGAGTTTAAAATACTGCACTCTCCATAGGAGACTGGCTTGCTGTGGATCTGCTGGCCTCTCTCAACTCCTGGGCCCAGCTCTTCAGGCCTTCTTGACCCATCACTCAAGGGAGTTCACACACATGACACCATCCTCAGCTGCTAGGAACCCCCAAGCCCAAGTTAGTGCAGGTGCTGAGTTTCCAAAGACATCTTTTTTTTTTGAGACAGAGTCCCATTATGCCACCCTCGAGAGTGCTGTGGCGTGACAGCTCACAGTAACCTCAAACTCTTGGGCTTAAGTGATTCCCTTGCCTCAGCCTCCCAAGTAGTTGGGACTACAAGTGCCTGTGCCTGGCTATTTTTTTGTTGTTGTGGTAGTGATCATTGTTGTTTGGCAGGTCTAGGCTGAGTTCCAACCCACCAGCTCTTGTGTATGTGGCTGGCACCCAAGCGGCTGAGCTACAGGCACCAAGCCTCCAAAGAATCTTGACCTAAAACAGTGATGGTGAATAGGGGTGAGGGCAGCCTCTGTGGAGAATGTTCTGTGGGTCTTCCTGCTCATGGTGTAATTCACTCTACCAACTCTACCAGTCAAAAAAGAAGGGCTGGGCGTCCTTCTCCAAAGACCCTGCTCCTAGCTCAGGTCTGCCTTCCCCTTCCTTCCTACGGGGCTCCATGGAGCCCCGGAAATGTGCAGCTTGCATGTGCCCAGGGGGCGTCATACTCGTTGCCTGCTGCAGAGCTGGGTGTGCCCCAGAGCAGTTGAATCCAGAGTTGAGGACTTTCATTCCTGCCTTCAGGAAGCTGCCGTTTGGTGAGATTCAGCAGATCCTCTTAGTGCTGAGGCTGGCAGGCCCCAGGGCCCCCAGTTTCTAGCTAGATAACTCTGGGCAGATACCTTCTCTCCTCTGAGGACCCCCGCATGTCGTCACTGAAGGTTCCCATAGTTTTCTTTTCAGTGTTGGCCACTGTGATCGTGGCTGCTGTTGTCACTATTTCTGTTACAGATGAGAATATGGAGCAGGAAGGAGAAGGGTTGTGGGGAGCTGGGGTGAGAAGTCACATGCTTCCGGGGAGGGGGTCCCACGAAGAAGGTGGCGGGGAGAACAGTCCGTCTTCAGCGTTCGAGTCAGGAGCAGCTGTGGGAGGAGGGAACCTGGGCCTTCGAGGTTTCCAGAATTTGAGGAGCTGTCAAGTGGGGTGATCCAGCTGATAGCACAAATGGGTCACATTCCTGACCCATTACATAAGTGGGTCAGGAATTCAGTGGGGAGCGGGGAGCGGGATGTGCAGATCTGAGGGCCCCTTTCTCAGGGACACTCATGAAATAAGGGAAGAGAGGCCACAGGGACAGAGGTGTGAGGTGGGAGGAAAGGAGTGAAGACAAACCGTCCCAGCAGCAGGAGCGGCCACCCTGGTGTGGTGGGATTGCTGGTCCGGGCAGCACCCGGCGATGGAGGGAGGAGGTTCAACAGAACCTAAGGAGGGTGTACCACGCTGCCAGCCAGATGGTTCGAGAGTGGGGTCCAGCTTGCAGGAAGGACCTGGAGACATTATCCTGCTCCACCACTCTTTCTAGAAGTGTGGCTGGACTGGGAGGGCTAGAGATGGAGGCCTCACAAAGAGGAGGGACACTTGTTAGGAAGAGAGAAAGTAACAGAAGGCCAGGTTGTTGGGGGGGCCTCGGGCACATGTGGGGGTGATCTCAGTGCAGAGGGAAGTGTTCACTGTGAGGCACTGTCTCAACCCCAGCACCCAGGCCCGTCCCTCTGTTGGCCCAGCACCCCAGGCCTAGTGTGCTCCCCTGGGCACTATGGAAGGTGGGCTTCTCGAGTGGAGTCCCAAGTGGACACCATTCTGCCCACAGCCAGCCAGGCCAATGTGGCTTTTCTAAAGGATGTGCCAGCAAGTGCTCCCAGCGTGGGTGTCCTCACTGGCACAGTGCCCGAGAAGGAAGCACAGCAAGGGCAGCACTGTCCGGCATCAAACCCTCTCCCCTGTCCTGTCCACCCTCGTCATGCTTCCTCCACCCAGCCTCCTCCCCTCTAGAGCCCAGGCCCGATACCATCCAGACCCACCTGGGCACTGCCAGGTCAAGCCTCTGCATACCTGACCCTCATTTAACTGTGACTGACCCTGTCCACAAGGTGGGATGTTGTTGATTTGCCATGAGATTGTCAGGGTGTGGACAGGCCCCCTCCCAGCTAGGTTGACTCTAGTGGGGTCACCAAGCAAGAATGTGTTAACAGTTCCTGCTGACTCTGGGCTGCAGCCAAAGTGAGCAGCCTTGCCCCAATCAGGCTGAGAAGAGCTGGGCAGCCTCACCTCGTGGAGCTCCCTCCAGCAGGGAGTGTTTCCTCTGACAGGAGTGCTCCCTGATGCCTGGTGCAGGGGTGCTCCCTTAGGCAGGAGTACTCCCTGGTCCTGATGCAGGAGTGCTCCCTCGGGCAGGAATGCTCCCTCAGGCAGGGGTGCTCCCTAGGGTAGAGCCTGGTAACACCGGGCTCCTTATTCCTGCTGGTCCCAGACCCAAAAGAAGGTAGGCTCTCCCCAATACTAGTCCTGATAATCAGGGCAAGGCACAAGCCAGGGTGGTGGATCTGTGTTCTGGGCTCTGGAAGTGGATCTTGGTGGAGCCAGTTCTGGTTTGTTGGTTTGCTCCCTCCTGTTATCTTCTCAGGGCATCCCGTCAGCCTCTGGGAGGCAGCTGCTGGCAATGACCCTCATTTGTGCCAGGAAGTCCACAACTGCCAGCAAGTTTTTCCCCTTTTTGGACCAGCCAGTCTAAACCTGAAGTCTTAGCCATTTGCATTTGGAGAGCAGACCAAAGCTCAACTTTGTAGCAAGAAGACCCAAGGCTGAATTCAGGCTCTTGGTTTCCTAGAGCAGGCTGCCTTAGGAAAGTTATCCTGCATTTCTGAGCTTCAATCTTCTGATTTTGGAGGTGACATTGGCTGCCCTGTCAGCCTTGCAAATTAAACTGAAGGGATGTGTATGAAATATGACAAGGATGAGAACTTGTCACACAAGAGGCAGCATTAGTCTCAGTGTGAGATTCGTTGAATAGGAATATCTCTGGGGATAGAAAGGGTTTAGGGGGTGGGGAGTGAGGCAGGAATAGAGGGTGACTGCCAGTGGGTATCAGGTTTCTTTTGAAAATGTGCTCCGATTAGCTGATGATGGCAGTCATACAACTGTCTATGCTGGAAAAAAAAAAAAACCCACACTGAACTGTATACTTTAAATGAATGGGATGGAGTGTGAAATACATCTCAAGCCATTCGAAAAAATGCATTAGGAGCCTCATTATTCAAGTGTGTATTTTATTCTTTTTTCAGTTTCAAAATACTGGTATTAAGCTGGTATAAATGTTCTTGATGAAATGGATCGCTTTTGTAACCACTGAGTCATCTATAATTGTGCCCATCACTGAAATTGTTCATCCTACCCGTTAGGTAGGTTTCCAGCCCTCTCCTGCTG